TCCGGACGGGTCCGTGTCCGCATAGAATAATTTCTCCCCTCGTGCACCTTAATAGCGGCGGTTTTTGTGAAATGCTTTTCAAAAATATTTCTACCAATGTCGAGTGGTCATGCCAATGATGTTTTAAATCAGTCATAATTATAATCTTTAGGCAATATTTTGATATTTTGCTGGCCATCTCTTTTCTTCAATCACCAACATTACAGTTACTTCATTGCTCTACTCTTGCTTAATGATTTCATTTGCATTAATATCTAAAATGGACGATGAATCTGTTGGCAACTACAAGAGAAGGACATTATAGGGGCAAATTATTGCATCCGGTCACCGGACGCGCAGAATAGGTTTGGACATCCAATAAAAACATGTCACATCACCTGCGCTTAAGGCGCGCTTTAACTGTGCTTTATCTACGCTTTTGATGCGCTTAATTTGAAATAATATTTTATTAATATCCGGATCTATCTCCGTGACCGTTGATCGGATGCAATAATTTGCCCATTATAGGGCAACAAATGGGGGCTTCTTTTCTCAAATCATAGGAGTTTTTGAATACAAGCTCAATGTGATACTAAAATTCAGTCCGTTTTCATTCCAATTAGATGAAGTTGTTTGTCTTTGAAAATGTCATTGAGATGTGGAGATGACTTAGGCTTCGTTTGATTGTCTGGTACTTTTTGTAAAAGGTAGGAAACGGAGGTTTCCATCTGAGAAACAAATATCAAAAAGTTCTTCAAAACAGTAGAAAAATGATGCTACGTAAAAAGTTTTTTTACAGAAGCGTCAAATGCAAATGGCAATCAAAAAATAATTGCGCCATTTCGAAACATAAATGGTGAAATTAATTCGTCTCAAACGGTGCCTTAAAAAAGAGTAATAAATGCCACATCTTAGTTCAAATGTTATAGAATTTTATTTTGTCATGTATGTAGATGCATGTTTTTGATGTCCTGCATAAAATAAAATCATTATATTATTATATAAAATTTGTTGTTGTTCAATAAATTATTCAAATATATGAGGACTTTCTGAGCACGTTTATCACGTTTTTTTTGTTAAAACTAAGCGCAAAAATTAGTAAAATATTAGAGGTGTTACCCTCCTATGCAAAATCATAGGAAAGGCTTATTTATTTTTTGCATTGTGAGGAGTTTAAGATATCTTGTGATTTTCCCATTGTTTGAAGATAATAATGCTTCGTTTGGGATTGCTTTTTTAAAATCAGCTTTTTAAACTAAAATTTTCATCAACTATAATTTTTTGTAATAAAAATTATCTCAGAAATCTGAATTTGAGAGAAAGAAAATGCAAAAATGATAAAAAAAGCTTACATTATCTTAATCAGCTCATTAAACTTTCTCTCTCTTATTTGCCTGTCATCAATTCCAAAAAAAACAAAAGTTTTTTTTTTTCATTATATAAAAATTACTATCGAAGAATTGAGTTATGTTTTTATTCCCTTTTATGTCTCAAATGCTATATCATTACCAAAATTATATCATTGTTATTTTGACTAAATATTCTAAAATATCTATCACTTATCCTTCAAAAGAGAGCCTTTCATCTTCCAACTTTCCATGAAAACCTCGTTAAGTAAATAACTTTGGTGCACAATTCAAAAAGCGAAATTATTGCATTCAATTAATTATTTAAATTTTTGTATTATTTAAATATAAAGTCAGAAAGCTTATTGCGTATGTCTCATATAAATTTGAACAAAAGGTTCAAACAGATATGTATAATTGAGTTGAAAAAGCTAATCCTGGCAGCAACAAATTTTCATCTCTTCATCAATGGATCACCTTCATCAATAATTTCACACTTAATAATTTATATATGAATATCAACACATATCTTGAGATTTAAGTTTTTCTTTGAGAAAACTTTCTTAGTGCTTTCTCTAGCAATTGTTTAGCAAAAAAAATCCTATAAAAACAGTTAAAAAATTATCCCAAGTGAACCCTAAGTTTCAAATCATAAACTATAAAGAAGTTCACAAACCAAATTGACGATTAAGGCTTTGTTTGGGACGGCTTTTTTTGTTGGTTTTTAAATCAGTATAAATATTTTAATTTTTATACTGAAAAGTTGTTTTAAAAAGAAACAAAAAAATCGTCCCAAATGAAACCTAAATAAAGGGATTTGCAAACAAGTGCTATGAGGGTAGTTGATGTTAAAAATGAAAACTTGATTATTATAGACATATTATCAGTATCAAGAATGTTGTTGCGGGCTTGAATATACGCGGTGATAGAGTTTTAATTATACGTCTTAGCTTTGCACGGATATTCAGCTCACACACAGAGAACACATGATTTTTTACGTGGAAACTCCTTGAAAGGGGAAAAATCACGAGGCCTAGCCCAGTTGAAAATGATTCTACTGGAATATAAGTTAGTTACAATGGGCTGATTCGCCTCTGAGGGCGATCAGATTACAAATAACAACTGTACGATAGAAGTCCGGGTGTCAGGTGATGGTATGGCAGAACTTCGGGGCTCAGGTGATGGTTTGACGAAGGTGAGGGCCTCTGATGAAGGTGAGGGCCTCTGAAGAAGGTGAAGGCCTCAAATGGTGGTCTAGCGAGGGTAAGGGCCTCTAGGGAAGGTGAGGGCCTTTAACGAAGGTGAGGGCCTCAGGTGGTGGTTCAGCGAAGCTCCAAGCCTCCAGCAGTGGTCCGGCGAGGCTCCGGCGGTGGTCCGTTGAGGCTCCGACGGTGTTCAGGCGTTGGTTCGGCGAGGCTTTGCGCAGTGGTCCGGCGAGGGTGAGGGTCTCATGTGGTGGTCCGACGAGGCTCCAGCGCTTGTCTGGCGAGACTCTGGCGGTGGTCCGGCGAGGCTCCTAGGGTGATCCGGCGAGGTTCCGACGGTGGTCGAGGAAGAACTTCTTGCTTCTCTTCTTCCTTCTCTTCTCTTCTTGCTCGGGTCCCTTTTCAAGAGAAATGAGGGGTCTATTTATAGATTTTCTGGAGTGGCATGGCCCGTAAATAGGTGAGAGATCAAGGGTAAATGGGGAGTGGTTGGATGGACGGTCGATATTGAACCCCTTGATCATGTACCGTTCGTCAGGCATTTGGAAGCCTTAATGATTTCGAAATTCAGTGATCTTGGGCTTGTTGGATTCGTCTCGTCGAGCCGCTCGATTCGACTATAAGCTCGTCATATTTGGAAACCGTTTGGTAACTCAAACAGTGGTACAAAGCTTCCAACAACGCTTTAGTCCTTGATTTGGGCTCATTTTGGCTCGGATTGAGTCGAATTTGGTGTCGTTGGGTTCGTATTTCCAAGACGCTCAATTTGACTGTAAGTTTGCTAAAATCATAGTTTGGGTGACCCCGAATTTAATTTTTGAAGTTTCCTGCCTGATTTTGCCTCGAGATTAGTGCCAGATCAAGATAATTTTTTGATGACCTATCAAATGTAAAGAAGCCCAATCAAGATATGATATCAAGCTTAAAGGGTGAGTAGATACTAAGAAGGTTGTCATAGGAACAAATATATATATATATATATATATATAAAGGAGCATATAAATAGAGAGATAAAGAGAATTATTAAAAATTTTCTCTCTTTGTCTTTCTACTTGCATGTCACTTGAGTTGGTAGCAATGGTCAATTTGAAAAAAAAAATGTAGAAGAGATTATTTTGCTTACAACACGACAGCAAAAAGAAATATTTTTACTATTATAGAAAATAATACATCAAACTTTCTCATAGTTTTTAAATTTTTGAAACAAAAGTGAAAGACCAAATAGCAAAATATAAAGCGTTGAAGAAAGTTATAGTAAAGAAAATCGATTCATAAGGATTTCTCACTCGCTCAAATCAGAA